TTATTTCAATTTTAGTTATTAATAATAGAAATGATTATTAAGAAATAAATAAGCTAATGTTTGATCTGGCTTCCGGGTTGATGTTGTCTTCTTTATGGATTTCTGTTCGATGTATCGTGAACATTTCAATTCAATTCATTAGGAAGAGGAGCGACTTAAAACTGCAACATTACTCCAAATTCAAGAGAGACATGAAATTTGAAAACATTTTTAGGTCGTTTCTCTCTCCAAAGAAATTAACTGGAACGTTCACGAAATATCGAAAAAGAATCCATCAAAGACCGGAAGCCAGATCAAGTATATTGACACATCGTAAAAATACCAAACAAGGTAATAAAAAATGAATATTATGATAATAAAATCCAATGTATATAAAATAAATAATTAACTAATTATATGAAATAAAATATGGAAGATAGAATTTCACAGACAGTAAGGTGTTACGTGTTTGACATAATTGATTCGCCACTTCGACGACGCAAGCTAATATATGAAAGTATTATGATAATGCCATTTACAGTTGCATTGTTATCGGGAAGTGTTGAAAAGTGGGACTCGCGTGCAGTCTTGAGTTTCATTCCAAAAATTTCTGATATTGATGTAATGTTACTATTAGCTGGTGTTTAATGGGGAATATGTTGCAGTATAGATGCGAGAAAAGAGTCATGAAGTTCTGAAAGGATTGAAGAATGAAGTTTGAAAAGACTCGAGCATAGTTCGGAAGGAACCAAACAGTCGGATTCTTTCTGTTTCAGGCATTTGTCTCACTCAGGACGTCGACCTGGTTCTGAAACACATGAACAACGCGAGGTACCTACGTGAGTTGGACTTCGCGCGTTTTTATTTTTACGATAGATCAGGAATTTATGCGGGTATCTCAAAAAGAGGAGGCGGCGCTGTTCAAGGTGCATGTACCATAAGATATCGCCGAGCGATTGCCATCTTTACACCGTACAAGATCACCACGAAGGTATGCGATCGATACGCTGTCTTGGCTCACTTTACTTACAACTGAATTTCGCATTACTTTCGTGTAAAGCGGTGTCTACAATGAGAAGTTAAGCTATAAGACTTAAGCTTTAAGCTTCAAGCCGTAAGAAACTAATCGATTATCTTGGCTGTGATTGGTCAATTTCTTACGGCTTGAAACTTAAGTCTTATGGCTTAAGTTCTCATTGTAGACATCGTTTAAGAAAAGCAATTGATCTAACGAAGAAATCCACGATTGATGTCCGATTTTATTTGAGCTTTGGACCTAATAAACATCAACTAGTAATAACATTACATTAATATTATCATTCTCTACTTAGAAATATAAGTGTAATATAATATGTGTTGTACGTGACAGTTGCAGTGGGAAATTCTAACCTTATTGTTTTTGTTACTTGGTGTTTACTGGGAAATATGTTGCATAGGTCGAGGAAGGAGTCACGAATTCCTTTGACAATTTTTAAATATAGGTTTGAAGAATGAAATAGCCATTTGAAATAAATCGCCTGTATTTTTCCGCCGGCGGAAAACAGAAAAAAATATTTTAACTAGTTGAATGCTATGACGTTCAGCGATTATCATACAGTTAGCATTATCATACTGTCACATCATTAATTAACGTGTAGAAGAATTAATTAAAAATGAAGTGTCAATAGAATGCTAATAAAACGATATTTTCGTCCCGAATGTTATTGAGACATAACAAGAAATAATGGAGAACATATTTAATGGAAATAGTGATGTGTAATAATACGAGCTAATTAAAAACATACACGATCAGCAGACGTATTAAGCAGTGATATAAAGAACAATGGATAAAATCGGCCGATTCTGACTTAAAAAGTATAACGCAAATTATAGATATAATCTTATGTTTTTTGAATTGCTGAATACAATGGTAGCCTTTTTATCCATTTAAACCCGTAGGAAAATGGAAAAAATTTGCTTTAGTTAATTCGGTCGAAATAAATCATTTTTAATAGTAATTTAGTTAGCGACGATTTTGTTCCAATTATTACATTACTTGTATTATAGTTCAGTCTTAAAACTTTTTTCACTGAAATCTACAGTATGGTTTGTCAGTACGTCAATATGTATAAATTATTTGTGTTTAGGTGTGCTAAATATCCGCTTCACTGTCATCTCATATTGCGAGAAATTACGAATAGTGATATATGATATGTAGTTGCGTGCAGATAGACGAGTTGATCTTGCAAACATAGTCTTTTGGAATGCAATGTTAATATGTACGGTTGAGTTTGACGCAAAGTGACTTTTACTTTGGTTATGAGAAGTAAAAAATGTTAAAAATGGTATTATATGATGGTGCACTGAGAAAAATATCCAATTATATCTAATCGGAGTACAAAAGCAAAAGAAACAAACGGATATATCCGACCAAATTATATATCCGATACAAAAAGTAATCGGAACGGATATCCAACCCATATCCAAACGGATATCCGACTCATAAATATCCATGTTGAATGAACATAATCTTATCACAAATATGACTCTGTACTTTTCACGATTTTACGACTTCTAGCATAGACAAGCTTTATAATATTAAATTCAGTTTTAAGAATTAAGTACTCATACTTATTAATAGTTTAATAACCTTTTCTTCAATATTCATTTCTTGTAATACATCACGTATCTCATCATTCATAGTGAGTCGATATGTTGCACAAATGATATATATTTCAATAAAGATCGATCATGTAAAGAGACAAAAGACGTCTTCGAGCTGTCAAAGACAGTTTTGATCAATGAACGTGTTATACCAATGGATCTTATCGGTTATTGTTTATCATCGGATAATATACAACCGGATATTGCGCGACTGTTTTCTTTTTATCTAATTACATGCAACATCCGATCTTATCGTTATTTAATCCGATGAAATCGTGTTCCACATCCGATAAAAATTTTACAACGGATATACAAAGGGCGACTAACTTCCCATCGGTAACCGCATTGTATCGGATAAAAGTATCTATCGCTTGATCGGATAGCAAAATTAACAATCGGATACATTACTTAACTGATTTATTCGATTGAAATTTTTCTCAGTGTGGTATTTTCATAACTTCAATATTTCATAAATCTGAAAATAGTAAGATACTTACTATTGTAAGGTATTTTTATAAGGAGCCATTAAACTTTCGTTCAAAATATTTCCTCATTTCTCGCCGTTTTGAAATCATTTGCTCCGAAACATAAAAATTGATTTAAAAAAAAATAGAAAGAATATTTCGCAACCCCTAAACTTACTTATTATTTATAAAAAAATGTGTTTTTATTTTGATCTATGTTACAAAATGTTAATCGCTTGTTAAAATCAGAACAAAAAAGTGCTTGTTTTTTGTAACTGAAAGAAAAAAATAATTAATTTCATCAAAATTATTATACTATTTCTGGCTAACTACAATTTCTTATTGTTTAAGAAAAAGCAAAATGCAGATGTACGTAGCAAAATGCATATATATGTAGTAATATACAAATATTAAAAAAAGAAGCATATGGACAATATATCCCCGAGGCTATCTAGACCCTCAGATCTCCCCTACATTTCGAGTCACTTGACGTCAGTCGTTATAAAGTTACATACACGGAGAAAAATAATTTTGCTCTTTTAGCAAAATCGTCGTTGCTACTGCATATTCGTAGTGACATCAAAAAAATTTAGTTGACGTAACTAATTTTACAAATTATTTATTATCAGAGCAGAAGTAGTTTTGTTGCCAGGATAGAAAAAATTTGTTGAGTATATTTGTCCTAAGAATCATGTTAATTTGCTATTGATGCAAAATAATGTATCTTTAGCAAATCTATTTGCTATCGGAGCAAAACTGCAACTTCTTATACAAATCCATCATGATTCTTATAGCAAAATAATTTGTAGATTTAGCAAATTATATCCAGCAAATAGTGATTAATACTCTTGGCAAATCTTTTTGCTGTCCGTATAATAACGAAAAGATTTTGCTAGACCAGCAGAAAATTTGCTGAGCCAGCAAATTATTTTTCTCCGTGTATCTTTCACGTTGCCACATTTGTTTGGATAATAAAAATTGGAAAATATTTAAAAATAGTATTCCTGACTCTCTATAATCCCTTTTCTTTGCGATTACAATTACAAGTAGCAAAGGCTCTGAGCATTTACGTATAAATTACGTATAAGTTACGTAATAATCTACATTTACGTGTTGAAAGCAATGTCCTTATTTTTTGCCTTCACGGAAGTAGCAAACGTTTTTTCTCAGTCTGCAAATTGCATTCTTTCAGCTCATTTACTGGGAGGACAAACACTTCTATGTAGAGCAACAGTTTATCAGTCTCACGGACAACTTCATTCGTGCCGTTGTATTAAGTAAACAAACTGCAACTGGATTGAAGGTACCGGTGCAGGATATATTGACCGAAATCGAGCCGGAAATATGTCGGCCGGAACCCACTAAGGAACTTCAGCTGTGGCTGGATTCTATGGAGGAGTCGTCCCAAAATCTAAAAAAGCAGAAGTGAGAAGAGGATGCTACTCGATATGTTATTTAATTATTTGTTATTTAGCTTTTTTCGGGGAGGTTATGTTATACTTATGCGTTTTATTACAGCAGATTATCTGTTAGATTTTTCTCGTTGAAATGTTGCGGTATGTATGAAATATATTGTCATAGATTGAGCTCTGGTTTACAACGTGATATAACGATCTTCGCCAAAGTCTTTTACGATTTAAGGCATTTTATAAATTTAAAATAGGCCAAATAAAATTTATTTATTCCGCGAGTTAAGTATAACTAACCATCAATTTAACGCCACGATAATTTTTATATCAACCAAGAACTACAATCTCTTAATATCTCTGAACAAACTAAGTTTATTTATACGGGAGGATATAATCTTTACCGAAGAAGATTTTTACGATTATGTAACTTGGAAATAAAACTCGTGTTCTGTCGCGGAAACTCCTTCGCTCTAGATAACTTCTTCGACGAATTGTCCTTTTCTCGTTATAAATCCTGCGCTTCTTCAATTGGAAATTATTTCTTCAATTATTTTTCCATCGGCTTTAGCGGCTCTTACGTGTAAATTACGTATAAGTTACGTAATAATCTACATTTACGTGTTGAGAGCAATGCCCTTATTTTTTGCCTTCATCGAAAAAAAAGACTTACTAATATATGGAAAACTAAAAATATTAGCTGCAGGAGCAAATTTTCTGGCTCTTATAGCAAAGTTATTTAATTGTGATAGCTAAAAGATTTGCTAGTATATATATATATTATACTTTAAACTATCTTTTATAGATAATAGCTAAAATGTGACTGAAAGCCAATTAAAAGATTTCTAGAAGTCACATTTAAAGATGTTATTGATAAGAAAAGTTTAAAACAAGGATAAACTATCTTAAATCTCGATTTAAATTTATAAACATTGTTTCCCCTAAAGAAGTTAGAGCATCCAAACTTTTCTGGTCACATTCTTACCTTCAGAATTAAATATACTAATTTATCACACAATGAAATAAATATTTCATCAATTTGTTATCTTTTTTAAACATTACGTTTACAATTAATATCGAGAACAGATGTAACAACTGTTTCATAATTTAATTACTCTTTTTTGTACATATTCACTCCTAGACGGTATAAGATCTTCAGGGGATGTCCAGGTGACATTCTCAAGACACAGGGACGTCCTCAGAACGTTTTTAGGGAAGATGTCCTGTGGAGATCTGTGCCGTTTGGACTGAGGGAAGAAAATATCTAAGAAATAAAAAAATGTTTATTTAACGGGCACTAATAATATTTTTACTTATATCAATATAAAATATTTTTCAAATAAGAAAATATTATCATAACATATGTAAAGGATAAGAAATCCAAAAGATGGAATTTGCTAAGTATAAGATAAAAAATATTTAGGATAAGAGGTAAAAGGTAAAAAGGAAGAAATAGGATAAGAAATAATTAGGATAAGTGGCGAAAAGGAAAAAGAAAAAGAAGAAATGGGGAATACAGGAAAAAATATAAAATAAGGTTAAGGTAAAAACTAAGAACTTCCTGGCATTGTAAGCTGAAGTAAAATAAAGAAGATATATACTAAGATACTATTATCGTAACATATGTATACGGAGAAAAATAATTTGCTGGCCTAGCAAATTTTCTGCTAGTCTAGCAAAATCTTTTTGTTATTATATGGACAGAAAAAAGATTTGCTAAGAATACTAACCACTATTTGCTGGATATAATTTGCTGAATCTACAAATTATTTTGCTATAAGAACCATGATGGATTTCTATAAGCAGTTGCAGTTTTGCTCCAGTAGCAAATAAATTTGCTAAGGATACATTATTTTGCATCAGTAGCAAATTAACGTGATTCCTATTACAAATATACTCAACAAATTTTTTCTATCCTGGCAACGAAACTACTTCTGTTCTGATAACAAATAATTTGTAAAATTAGTTAGGTCAACTAAATTTTTTTATGTCACTACGAACATGCAGTAGCAACGACGATTTTGCTAAAAGAGCAGAATTATTTTTCTGCGTGTATCCACTGTTCTTATATCAGTTACAATGATCGAGCAGGAAAAAATTCTAGACGCAAATAACCAGTTTTTAAACGACAATAAAAAGCAGTAAAAGAATTTTGGAGATGTCCTTTTTCGTAAAAAAAAAAAAAGAAACACCGACGGAAACACGTAATGACGTAATCTTAAAATCTACGGCACAACCTTGGTTATACGTCGTCTGCATTGAGGGGATTTGAGCGCAGCCGTCAGATGGCGATCCCGGTATCGGCTCAAACGAACGGAGAATGGATGTTCCCGCGAGCTGGTGCCGCGCAGTCGATCCGTGAAAGCTGCCACGATCCAAAGCGAAGCGAGTCGACCTTTGACTTCGTTTTCCATGAATTCCCGTGAACTCGCCGGTGATCAAGAGCTCGTGACAGCTCGCCGCAGGTTGTAACGCGGATGACCTTCTTCATTCCACGCATCTGTGAGTGATCCAGTGCGCGATTATATTTCGCTTTCGGAGACACCTTCGTTCCTCGCGCGCTCGTCCTCCACCTCCGATTTTCGGCTTTCAATTTTTCACCACAGCCTAAGCGCGCGACTCTTCAATTATCGTGTCTGAGACGCGCGCGGTTTCCGCGAATATGACATTTTCGCGTTCACATTCTTGCACGATGTGATTGTCTCGCGCTCGCGCATTGTCGTTTAAATGCAAACAAGTCGGCTGCCACACCATCGACTACTTGCGAGACGTTTCGCGAATTCAGCAGCGGGAAAACGCGCGCTGCGTTTTTTGCTTACAAGTACAACCTGGATAAGTGGTCGGTGGTTTCGTTTCAGAACACGTGAACGATATCTGCACGACGACAACGGCGACGGAGCGCTAATGCATGCGCGGATAAAATTACGCGATTACATCACGAGGAGTCTTGTATGACTAGATCACACATTGTTTCTTGCTACTGTCTGCACCGTCCGTCAATCGCGGGATTTTCCGTGAATGCAGTGGATGGAGATTAAGAATTGTTGATAATTCTATTTTTGCCTGTCTTATTCTTTCCAAAAATGACACTTTTAATTTCGAATTTCTCTATCTCACTCTCTCTCCTTCTCAATTTCGTTTTCTTTTTCTTTTATGTATAAATAATGCTATATTTTTTCATTCTCTATTATATTGCTGATTTGTTTTTAAAGGATTCGCCTTGGAATATTAATAAAGATTTTCCCCTCTCTTTTTTCATGTTTTTTCTTTTATGTATACATATTGTTACTCTCTTCACTTCCTATTGTATTACTGATTTGTTCTTGAAGAACTTGGCCTGAGATGTTAAACTTTCTTCTCTCCCTTTCTTTCTTCCATACACATTTTTGTTTTCTTTTTTTATGTATAATGCTATATCTTTCTATTTTCTATTCTTAATTTGTTTTTAAAGGGCTTGCCTTGGGATGTTAATAAATGTTTCCCCTCTCTTTCTTATATATTTTTTCTTTTCTTGTATGTATATACAAGAAATTATATGCACAGAGAGAACGATTTGTTGAATCAAATAAATGTTTCTTTGGAATAGTCCAAACAAGTTATTTGGTTGACAATACAAAAATATTTCTTTGGAAGCTGCTAATAAATATCTGTTGCGTTAAACAATATTTTGTTCTATCAATAAAAGAATTCGTTTGGACTATTCCAAAGAAGTTTATTTGATTCAACCAAATTCTCTCTGCGTGTACATACTTTTCTTGTATTGTTACATCTCTTTACTCCTTACTGTATTGCTGATTTGTTCTTAAAGAACTTGGTCTGGAATGTAAATAAAAGCTTTCATTTCTCCCTTTTTCTGTCCCGTACATATTTTTGTTTTCTTTTTTTCTCACGTATACATAATGCTATATCTCTTCATTCTCTATTGTGTTCCTGATTTGTTCTTAGAAGGCTTGCCCTGGGATGTTAATAAAAGTTTTCTCCCCTTTCTATCACACCTGTATTCTTTTCTTTGATATATACATATTGTTATATCTCTTCACTCCCTATTGCTGATTTGTTTTGCTGATTTGGGATATAAATAAATCTTCCCTCTTTCTCTTTCTCTCACATACTTACTTTTCATAACGCATTGTATTCATCGTGTACCTGAAGAGTCTTTTTTAAGACCCCACTTTTAAATAAATCCACCTGTCTCTCTCGAATATCGCACGCGAAGGTCGAGTTCGGAATCCTTCGTCGAGTATCGCCCGTCGTCGCGTCGGAAAATCAGCACGTTAGCGCCCGGATTAATGCTGTCGCGTATCTCATGGCCTCATCAGCCTCAACGAGATGATTTAGACCTCGGCGAAGGAGATTAATACGTTGCCAGCGAATTGTCGTGATCTGGCGATTGCGAGCGTCAGCGGGTTTAGCGGCACACGAGTCCTATTAGAACGTTTTATTGTATGCGCAATTACAAATTAGACGATTTGTCGATTTGTCGCGCGAGCGTGGGACTGTCTCATTATTTCGCGACAATGGGAAGAGAGTCTCATCGTCCTCGTATCCATAAAATCGTCTCACGTATTTAGGCGATACTGAGTCGCGTCGACACGTTGTCGTCGATTTTCCACACTGAGAGAAAAATATAGTTGCTTTTGGCGTCAACTATATGCTTTTGTGATTTTAACCATAAAAATAATTGAAAGAACCATTGTTTCAGTAAGTGTTATTAGAAAGATGGTTCTTCTAATTATTTTTCTGGTTAAAATCACAAAAAAGTATAGTTGACGCCGAAAGCAACTATATTTTTCTCTCAGTGCACGATATGGAGAGCATCGCGCGTTTTTATTTTCTCCCCCTTTTCCTACGGCGGCGTCAAGTCAAGAAAATGCATCGGCGACAACGCATGCGGCTGTGCCGAATGCCAGGAAATCGATCGTGCGAACAGCCCGCTCGTCGATTTCTCTTCCCATGCGTCTTACGACGGAACAATGAATCGACGCTTTCCTCCGCGAAGACATTGTACCCCTCTTCGTTTCGTTACTTTCACCCCACGAATTCGTGGGAAATTACGCGCATACCGTTGCACGATGAGTCTTGCCGCGAGTGGCCTCGGTGAGAATGCAGCTGATTCAGGGTTTAGTGGAAGTTTTCGATCGCACACATTGTGTTTATATACCTGCGCTATTTATAGAAAATGCAGTATTTGCAATGTAAAAGTTTTCGATTGCACACATTGTGTTTATATACCTGCGCTATTTGTAGAGAATGCAGCATTTGCAATGTAAAATATAAAATACCGAGGCCATTAGCGTCATCAGCGTCTGAAATTTCTGAAAATTAAGTACGAAATTGCGGTTAGCGTGCAATCGGAAACGTCTCATTTCAACCCTTAAGTGCGGACCTCGCGCAGAAGCGCGATGTAAGTGCGATTATTTCCTGCCCTGCAATTATTTCTCAGGAGAGCTGCCTATCGTCCGTAATCCCTCCACGTGGATATTTCAATCTGCTTCAATACACTTCGACAACGTCATAAAATATTTTCTGCACACGGATCAGCATTACGGATCGATAACGTGTAGACTCATTGGAAATTTTGCTGAAAATTTTCAATTGCCAGCATTGTGTTTATACTATATTCGCACGTCATGACTGTTAATTCCTCGAGGATAGATGATGGAAAGCTTTTATTCGACAATATCTCAAATTATTTAGACAAAGTGACATTTTTGTAATGTGAAATATAAAATCATGTATAAAAAAGAAAGCAGAAAAAAATCACGATGACATTAAAATGACGTCAAAATGACGGGAGAATGACTAAAAATGTTATTTTTAATCATGATTCGATTGTTTTCTCGTCACTTTGACATTATTGTGACTTTTTGTTCATAATATGTAAGATATTGTTGTTGTTTTCTTAAATAATTAAAGGAATCGCATATGATCGAAAAATTCAGCTGACTCAGAGTTTAGTGGAAGTTTTCGATCGCACAAATTGTATTTATACCTGCGCTATTTATAAAGAATACAGCATTTGCAATGCAAATCATAAAATCACACATAAAAGAAAGAGTAATATGTGAAGTATTGTTACTATTATTTTGAATAATCTGAGTGATCGTGTGTGATCGAAAAATTCAACCGACATTGACGTTTGCACATAAAAAAGTACATACACTGAGGAAAAAATTATCTTAAAATCAACAATTATTTCTTTGATGGGTGCCATTAACATATTTCTTTAATGAGAGAGAGAAAAGATTTATTTACATCCCAAATCAGCGAAACAAATCAGCAATAGGGAGTGAAGAGATATAACAATAAGTATACATCAAAGAAAAGAATACATTTGTGATAGAAAGGAGAGAAAATTTTTATTAATACTTTGATGGGTACCATTAACATATTTCTTTGATGAGAGAGAGAGAGAGAGAGAGAGAGAGAGAGAGAGAGAGAGAGAGAGAAAGAGAGAGAGAGAGAAGAGATTTATTTACATCCCAAATCAGCGAAACAAATCAGCAATAGGGAGTGAAGAGATATAACAATATATATACATCAAAGAAAAGAATACATTTATGATAGAAAAGGGAGAAAACTTTTATTAACATCCCAGGACAAGTCTTTTAAGAACAAATCAGGAACAATAGGGAATGAAGAGATATAGCATTATGTATACGTGAAAAAAAAAAAAAGAATATGTTAATGGCATCCATCAAAGAAATATTTGTTGATTTTAAGGTAATTTTGATGACATATTTAAATCTAAATTCTCTTTATTTCAACCAAATATTGTTTATTTAAGTCAGGTAAACAATATTTGATTGAAATAAAGAGAATTTAGATTTAAGTAAATATGTTAATGGCACCCATCAAAGAAATATTTATTGATTTTAAGATAATTTTTCCCTCAATGTACTGCATTGAAGCGAATGTTACTTGTTTCAAATATTTCATAAGTTTATATACCTGCAAATCTATGATAAGTTTATTATAAGCACATCAAAACACATTCTGAATTCTAGTAAGTTTAGCGTTTCAATAAAAAAAATAAAAATAAAAATTCGATTTGCTTATTATATAAGCATATACCGAACTAACATTTATTTTGATGGTTTTATAATATTTTTGTAAAGATAATAAATTCTTCTTTTGAATACATAATAATCGAAATGTGATAAAACAGTTCAAGTGGTCCTGGGTTAAGCAAATGTAACGGTTGTTATGGTCTGTAACGTATAAAGAAATTAGGAGAACGTTGTTCTCTCAGGCAAGAGTTGACAAATGCAAAACGCTGCGAGAACGATGCGAGAATATCAATGACGAATTCACCGGCCGAAAAAAGAAAGTTGTCTTAATGCGACGATTAAGAAAACGATCACGTAAACGCACGAGGGATCGAGAGGGATTCGTCTGGCTGGATTTGCGTCCGCGTAGGCCCTTGTTCGACGAAGGGCGTGCGTGTCTCGACATGTGGTCTTACGATTAACGAACAGTTCGCTCTGGTGGCGATTCTTATA